CCTTACATGTTTCACCTGTTAAATGTGAGGAAGCTTCTAACACTGAATCACTGTAATCTCCACTGATGGCCCATATAAATCACTTAAGCCACCCACTTATTGCACCATTAATTAACGTTATCGGGAAACATCCCCCGCAGCTGATGTGGTCCTAAATCACAGCTGCAGCGCTGTGTGGTATTTTCTGCTCTTCCACGTGGTAACCTTTGAGTTATGTACAAACACTTGGTGATACAGATCTAAGTTTAGCCCTGTGTATTTACATCTTTATGATGTAAAAGATGTAATAAACACACTTGAGAATTAACACCTCCTTTCTTCTGCATGTAGTGAAAAATGTCGCGTACCAGCGTGGTGTGACCGTATCCTGTGGCGAGGGAAGAACATCATGCAGCAGCATTATCAGAGTCACATGGCTCTGAAGACAAGTGACCACAAACCAGTCAGTTCCCTGCTTGTCGTTGGGGTAAGTAATTTCTTTCATTAAGTTTCTTGTTGTTTGGAAAAAGATGCATTGGCCCTCCTCATATAGACTTTTGAAAATTAGGGGAGGGGAGAAGCGATGATGCATCAGCCCCTTATTTTTTGCAAAGGCCATATCACATCTGTTGCAGTCTTATTTAAAGGTTATACAATGTAGATATTTATGCTGCAGTGTTTCTCTGCCTCGTCTTTCCACAGATCAAGAGAGTAAATGCCGAGGCCTATAAGAAGACTTTTGAAGAAATTGTACGCAACATAGACAAAATGGAGAACGAGTGTATTCCATCTGTAACGTTATCCAAGCGAGAGGTAAAGTTTCTTCTCTCATCACAGCGTAATGCGAGCTATAATACCGCTCTGATTCACCTTGTAGAATCAGTTTCCCTCTCATTATGTCCCCTTGATGAATTCAGTAAGTAAACCACCACTAATGAAGCTGTGTATTGATCTCAGGCTGTGAGCCGAATGCAGATATTTGAAGGATACATTTACATGAAATGGAGTAGAATTTTTTTCCCTGCTTGACTATTAACCTTTTCCTCTTCTTTCAGTTCCATTTTAAGGATGTGAAATACATGCAGCACCAGGCTGAGACGTTGAGCCTCTTAAATGACGGGCAGGTCCCGTGTCAGTTTGAGTTTATCCAGAAGCCGAATGAGCCCACATACTGCAAGCCCTGGCTCACAGCTAACCCTCCCAAAGGCTTTATCGCTCAGGGTGAGTAGAACACAAAGTCAGCGTTTCATCACATAGTGGCATATTTCATTTTAATAAATCACTACTGTTCTGCCTCTAGGTTTTAGAAATTAAGTGCAATAAGAGTTATTAGGGCAGAACTCTGATTTTGACTCACATTGGCAGCCTTTCTCTTTTGCAAGATTAAATCTTATCACAGATTACAGACATCTTGGTGCTTTACAGATCCTCAAAAACTGTTTCTAGTGACGGTAGCACAACGTAGCTCACTGATGTAGCAGGCATCACTTCCCGAATCATGACAGTTCATCTCTCTCAACATCCAGGTGCTTCTGTGGACATTGAGCTTGAGGTCTTTGTAAACCGCTCAACGGCGCCTGAACTTAACTCTGGCAAGGAAGAGATTGAAGACATCCTGGTACTCCACCTGGAGCGCGGCAAGGACTACTTCATCTCTGTGACAGGAAACTACCTGCCCAGCTGCTACGGCTCCTCCATTCATTCCCTGTGTCAACTGAGGGAGCCCATCCAGGATATGCCACAAGAGACCCTCCGCCAAGTGGTTAGTGCTCCCATGTGCAGCGCAGCGACAGTGTCCTTGAAATACCTTTTCTACAGTCACGGTTGTCTCCGAGGATTTCTCCCAGCAGTGGTGCTGAAGTGTGTGAATTATTTTGCACTGCTGAAAGATCCTTAGCACATCCGCTGACACAAGAAGGGCTTTAGACATGTATTTGTACACAGTTGTAGATGTCTGATCACGTTTAATGCAATACTTCCCATAGCCCATATTCTGTTACAGTCGCTTCTGCATGTGGGGACAGATTTAACATTTGACATCTAGCTCTAATATCCATATTGTGACTCTGATGTTGCTTGTAAAAACATTTGATCAGTAAACCATGACTGTTCAGTGTTAGCTACAGTTTGTCAGAACTGCCAGAGCAGTGAAGCTGTTTTAACAGTGTGCAGAGAAATTGTCCCCATCTGATCATCTGATTGGCCTTTAAACCATTAAGAACGAATGTATCAGCTGATAATGATGGGTGGCTGATCGAGCCGAGCATCCTTATCTGGGGGTTTGCAATTAATTACCCTTAATCTTCCTGAATCTGGCCACTTAAACTAAGTACAGACAGCAAGGAAATTGCACACAGGGGGATTTTATAGCCTAAGTGCCACTGCTAAATGAATATAGGGGAAACACTGTGTTGCGTACTTGAAGTTAAACACTTTTGAGTTTATTTTGACTGAACTTCTTCTCTTTGTTGTGTTTGTTCTGAACACCAGGCGGAGATGTCTATAGATGAGAATGCAGCAAACACTGAAAAGCCTCTAGACATTCCTAAAGAGCTCTGGATGATGGTGGATCACTTGTTCCGCAATGCACTCAAACAAGTAAGAAAATGTGTCACCGAAGCTTCTATTTTGGTGCTATAATGAAATCAAAGAAATTGTACTCTTGTTGAGTTTTTATGGGCGTAGCTTTCTTATTTGCAGGGTCATGTCTTTAAAGTGATTTAAGTGACTCTTGGCTTCCTTCCAAGCATTTTGTGTCTTTCTGAGGACAACTAAATGCAAGTCACTACATGCCACAACTATTGAGCAAAATTAAAAGTGTCAGTGTTTCAAAGATTTGTCTTGAGTCTACAGAGACACTGGTATGACTCACTAGGTGGGAGTGTTGGGTATGCACATCCAACAAAGCTGAAGATCTGTAGATCATCTGTCTGATTCTTGCCATTAGTGGTTGTGCCAGCAAGCCAAGTAATTTGTAAAGTATCTGCATTGATTTGGTGGAGGGAATTAGTCATTATTTTTAAAAGCCTCAATTCAGGTTATTTAATCATAAGACTGTGCTTTTAATTTTAATTAAGTCAAAGTCCATTGCAACTCCACTACGTTTTAGACCATAGAGCATTTTTCATCAGCCCAACAGGGCCTGTTTGTAATTTATCTCCTTGGCTGAATAAATGTGCTTTGTAGGGACATAAAGACTTAATATTTACTTTCCTCCATTTGCAGGAAGACATATTTCAGCAACCTGGGCTCCGGAGTGAATTTGCAGACATAAGGGATTGTCTTGACACTGGCATTCCTGATTCTCTACGTATCCTTCAGCACTATTGCCTTCATAACCATTGGTAGAAAAAGAGCACTTTTAGCATTTTGCCCTCACAGTTATTGTTTGATTTCAGAGACTGCAACAAACATGTTGTTCTTTCCAAATACTGCACTTCATATCTGTCTGTTTTGTCTGTCTGGTGGTAAACTGACCCCTTTGAATGAATCCAGGGATGTGACAGTGTTTTAGATTCTTTCTTACAGCAACTACATTTCAAAACGTGCAGATTCTACTCAAGAATTATTTCCTTGACTCTGTATTGACCTGCAGCGGGCAGTAACCACTCAGTGGCCGAGGCCTTGCTTCTCTTCCTAGACGCCCTCCCAGAGCCTGTGGTCCCCTACTCCTTTTACCAGCAGTGCCTAGACAGCTGCGCCAGTGCCAGTCAGTGTGAGAAAGTAAGTGGGACAGCCCACAGTGACTCGCTGATCAACATGAATTTATTCCTAAATGTGTTGAATATGAAAGTAAATCTCTGCCTTCTTGAAATGTGGTGTTAATTTCTTTTGTTTCAGATTATTTCCATGCTACCTCAGTGCCATAAAAATGTGTTCAACTATTTAGCTGCCTTTCTCCGTGAACTGTTGAAGAATTCTGCTAGCAATCGATTAGATGTCAACATCTTGGGTAAGGCAAAGAAGCAGGTCACACTTCAGTCTCTTTCATTGGTTAATGTGTTATTAATAGCTGCTGCTTTGTGTTTTAGTCAACTAGAAACTAAAACAGCAATGAGAAGTGAAAATGGAAGATAATACTGCTTATGAGTCAAGGACTGTTTGCACTGATTACCTTTTTAATACCCTGAGCAAAACATCTTCTGTCAATGTAGTTATTTAAAATCCTTCATTTAGCACATTGAATTTCTTTTTATCATCACTGTCACATTTGTTGAAACTTTGCTAATAAAGACATTACAACTAAGACAAGGAAGCCTATTATACTATGCAGTAGAAATGCAATATGAATATTTATCTTTTTTCTGCACAGCCACCATTTTTGCCTCCTTGCTCCTGAGGTCACCTGTGAAGCAGGATCTTGCAGAAAAGAGGAAGACTCAAGAGTTTTTTCAGCACTTCCTGGCCCAAGGCTCCTCCTAGATGGAGGACTTCTCCATCTTGTCCTTCATGCTGAAGCGGAACACTAAAAAACCTGTACAGTCCAGTATTTGAAATAAACTGTAATGATTTCATATATTCTGAGATGGTTCTTTGTATAGATACATAGCATAATTACTGTAAGTGACAGTTCTTATCTGATGATAGTTTGTTTCACACGATAATGTTTGTGATCTGTTGATGATGCACAGTGTTTATTGTATATCATTGAGCATCTGTAGAGACCTAACAATTTGTAATGTATGAATATTTTATTTAAAAAAAATGATAATTTGTATTTTAATGTTTTGATCTCAACAGGATATTGTTTTTATATATAAAGCTGTTGGAAACAAGGTGTGTGTCACTGGTGTTTTTTTCCAATCACAAGCAAAAGAAATGAACATTAAATTAATGTTAGTTTGTTTTTTATAATGCCACTTCTCTAGATGAGCTAAAAGAATCGCATTTGTCCCTAAAAAAAAAATCAAAACACACATTTTAGAGAGAATAGCATTTGTTGTTTTAATGAAGCATTAGGAATAATATTTGATTTCCCATAATTCATCACGAATGGCTGTGAGTCCGTGACGTTGTTTGGTATCCTAGGGAGGGGAGAGGAAGAAAGTGCTAAACATCTGAAGCATAGGGATAAGCCTTGCATTTTGTCAGGTAAATATATTTTTAATGTAATTTCCATTTGGTTAATTAACTCGGCACTACTGTGTGTTAGTCATTTTATCAGTGGGTAACATGAGTTGTGTTATCCTTGCAGGGAAGGTACGTAATGTCAACTGTCGACAGTTGCTAACGTTACTAGCTAGCCACCTAGCTTAGCTGTGAGCTAAATGGTTGCTAGCTAGCAAAGCTATGCATGTGCAGAGAAATGACTGATAGTTGGCTAGCGTACAGCTTACAGCCGTTAATTTTGCTATCCGCTGCTCGCTAGCAAAAGATTAAATAAAATGAAACTATTAGCGACATTACGTTAAAAAGTACGTGTAACTGTAGACGTTTTATTTAACGTTACAAGGAGGTTACGCGCAACGTAAATACGGTTTGTTATCCATTTGTAATTAGCAGGAAGCTAGCGACATATCAGAAGCTAGTAATGATATGAAGATGTCAGATATAACGTCAGGTCAGTGTCAACCAGCGGATTGTTACACAGTGTGCTAATTATTGGTGAACGGCTAACAACTCCAGCACCTTGACACAAAGGTAGGTTAACGTAACGTTAACTGTATTGTCAGTGTAACGGTGTAAACTTGGCGTGTCTATCAGGCCACCGTTGTGTTTGTAAACGTTAGCTAGCCGTGTCGAGTGTGGAAAAGTTAATTGGCATTGACGTGTTAGAGTGACATCTTTCACACGTTACTTATAACGTTTAATAAAAGTTACATAATGGAGTTTTAATACATGAGAAATCATCAGCTGTGTCAGTTAGTCCAACCGCTGCTGTCTCGCGACTCGTGTCATTGAAAACAGAAAGTTCCAGATCACGGTAACGTTAGTTTGCATTAAACAGGGCTAATGTGTGCTGTTGGCCTCTTGCTTTACTATAGAGCAATCCGGTTTTCAATACTGTAATATTAATACTTTAAATACTAAAAATAAGTTGAACACACAGACGTATTTACATTGGCATTTAGTGTAATCAAAGCCGCGATCCAGACATGGCACACATGCAGTACGTGAACTGATGCTGGAAATCATTTCTATTGGAACAGGCCCACAAAATGCAGAGCTCTCATGAGGTGTTATAATAACCATTTCCTGTAGCGGAGCTCTTTTAACAAGGCAATATGGCTCTGTATTGTGAATGTAAGGTTGCTCATCTGGGCCAGTGCTACAGCTAGATCTGCTGCTATGTTAGGGACTGTCCAAACCTCTCAAATCATTTGGGACAGGTTTGCTTACTGTACATGACAAAGCAACATTCAGGCTTTCTTAATATCACATATCTGGTACAGACAGTAAATGTGAGGTCTGCACCAACTTAGTAGTTATTTTTAAATTTAGACATGTCTGTTTGGTACTGCCTTTTACTGAATTGAACTTACAGGCTATTTATTTATATCCTACACTTTACTCTTAATTGCACTGTCATTTTTATTCTCCTGTTAATCTTTCATTTTATATTTTCTGTTTCACTCCTTTTAAACCCTCATGTGTGTGTTTAGTTTCTCTCACTGTTTTGTCCTAATGCCTTTTATGTCTTTTGTAAAGCTCTTTTGAATTGTCTAATTTACAGGGGTGTAATCACAAGTTTCATTATGAAACCATAGTGTATCAAAACTTGAGACAGTTATACAATATTTGTTTATCACAAAGTCCGCCACGATGCAGTTTTGATTTGAGTCAATTTAGGGGCCTGCAGTCGATACGAGACGATCAGTAAATACCCTCGTGTTTCTCTTGGCTGCTTGCCATCGTCTGTCTGACCATAGGTTGCGATAGCACTATTTAAATGTTTAGAAAGGAGGTGTGGTTGGATGAAAATGGGGACACAGATGTGCCATTGGAATGTCATATTAAAGGGGTGTCTTAAAGATGATGATATGTATCGATGTGTGTGCATAAAATAAATAAGATAGACCATTAAAGCTATTCTCCATATTTGAAAATAAGTTTAAGAAAATGAGTACACGTCAAACCGGCTGGTGACAGAATGCATACAGTAGAAGATTGCAAAAGGAAGTGCGATATTTACTGTGGCATTGTAAATTTGTATCCAGATTGATGTATTGTTTCACCCCTCATAGTAATAAATTATTGAATTCTTATCACAGGCTGTAACGGTTTCAGTGTGAGTGTGCAGTCCTCCTTGCCAAGGACGGAGAGGCACCAGGGACCATGAGTGAGAATGGCCCTCATACAGAGGCGTCGATGTACTTTGAGGTGGAGGTGGATCCCTTGGGTCGGGACGACGAAGAAGAAGACGACAAGATCCACTTTGACAAAGACGATGACTTGATTGCTGAACCTTCATCGTCTTCCGGTCGGGTGTACGACCGCACCACAGTGCTGATTGAGCGGGACCCTATTCGGCTAGACGAGGAGGGCGAAGAGGAGGGTCACTGTGGAGGGGACGAAGATGGGGTCACCTTCCTCACTGAAGGGGAGGGTGATGGAGACGAGGAGGATGGCTCTCTGGCCTTTATGAACGACCCTGATGGCATGTCACAGGGTTATGTACACCACACCATTTCTCCAGACCAGATTCAGTTCACAATAAATCCAGGCTCCACACCCATGCCACGCAACATAGAGGGAGCCACCCTCACCCTGCACTCTGAATGCCCAGAGACCAAGCAGAGAGAGGTAAGCCTACACAAGTGCATCTCCTCCAAATGTTAAGGATATACATACTAAGGAATTGTGTGGTTGTTGGGTCACCAAAGGCAATTCTTTTGGCAAATTCTCAAAAGATGTCTTTATTTTGAATATTTAGTCTGAGCACAGGTGCACAATGATATCAGTAAGCAGCTCTTTTTTTATATCAACGTTTTGTGCTTCTACTCAGTCACAGGTGTAAATTAATTTTCACACCAGTCACAACACAGCTGAGGAGAGAATCTGGCTGGTAGAATGTGGTCAGCTGTCAGTGCTGGAGTAATGCATGGTTTTGTTTGGTTAGTGATGAAGTATTAACTTGGTTTTGTTTGGTTAGTGATGAAGTAATTGCTTCGATTTGTTTGGTTATTGTTGAAGTAATTGCTCGGTTTGGTTTGTGGAGGCTCTTCCAGTCACTCTAGCTAATTGTTCAACCGAACAGCAGCTGGTTAAAAGATGATCTAACATGTCTAATGGCTTTAAAACTCTAAAACATGTAATATAACAGTATAACAAGTGTTACTGTTTACATGTCTTTCTTTGGTGAAATGCAAAGTACAGTTGCAATTTGATAACATGCAAAATTAGCTTTCCCAGCAGCTAGAGCCAGGTAGCTTATTAGGGTAAGGTAGAAGTTACCACCTGAATGCACCAAAGTGTTCAGCCCGTGTCTGTTAGTGGTGTCACCTGGCCTCCAGAGTGCTTTCACCCATTGCTAGCCCTGGGCATAGCACATTCACAACCCGCTTTGCCTTCTCTCTGTGTTCATGTGGTGATTTGCCATATTTTGACACTTATCCCAGCCTAATTAGTACAAGTGATACTGAAAGCAAGTGCACATTGGTAAAGCAGCTAGTCTTTGCCGAATAAGGGGTAGGTTACAGAAGGACTGCAGCAAGAACAACCGAGTCCTGTGTTTAGTCAGTTGTTTCAAATGTCAGATGACGCACACTTTATTTCCATCAAAGAAATGCTGCGTGCAGTTAATGTGCCAAACCAATTGAAACAAGAGGTTGTTAATTATTGAACAGTTGCCTCAATAACTTTCATAATGAGAGGATTGTGATAACATAAGTTCCTGGTGTGGTTTACAGTTTCTATACCTTTTAGACCTAAGCAATATGTCCATGTTCTTTTCGTTGTTTTTTAATGCCATTTTAATACAGTAAGGATGTATTTTAAAGAAGAGATTTCTACTGCAAGATGGGAGTCATGGCATCATTAGATTGGCAGAGTGCTGGAGTGGATGCAGTATTTTTCTCTAATGTTATTAATACAGAGGCCCCACAAGTGAGCACTTTTCTCTCCAGTGCTGTCTTTAATCTTCACTTCTCAGATTACATAGCCAATATTGGTTTGATCAATGAAGATGAGACATGGTATTTCGGATGGACTCATCAGTTTGTTAGTTGGTCTCAGCACAGTTATAGGTACTGAAAATTATTTTGATTGTAGACCCCAATGGGATCATCGGGAGAATGTCATCGAAGTTTTGGATGAATACCAGCTCCTGTTTTATTGTGCATTTGTGGTACTTTTACTGATTAAGAAGAAACTGCAAAAACAGATAATATTTCCTGCAACAAGAAAATTGTGCAACACTGTTATGATGTTTCTGAGTCACAAGAAAATGACAGAGAATTCTTAGTGATGTATCACTTCCCCTTTTTAGTGAAAAGTATTTGTCGACATGAATGCAAAGTTACAGGGGCACCGTCTTTGTGAAGTTACGTGCCTGTGAGGCTTTTTAATCCACCAGTGTAATATCACTAAACAAACTAAATATTAAATATGACACGGTGTGTGTGTGTGTGTGTGTGTGTGTGTGTGTGTGTGTGTGGAGGTTGAATGGTTGGCTAGTATTTGTGGGTGTTGCTGCTTTACACCCAGCACAGTGTTTGTTTAATCTGATTGTCTGAGTTACCGTCATTGTTGCTGCATTGCTGGTCGGTTTTTATGTGTATTGTTGTCTTTGTCATTGTTTTGACATTATGGCTTCATATTTATGACACTTTTATGGTGATTGCCACAGGAACTGAATGAATGTTCGAGGACACAATAAATTAAACCATTCACTTCCAGTACTTCACTATCCCTAAACTGAATTGCATACATCAGTAAATGAAAGTAACCTCTGCCAAAATTAAGTTCTATCTTGCTTCTTTGTCAAATATTATTTTGATTTAGTACATAAAACTGTATTTCCTCTCAGTGGAGCCTTTGCATATATTTACAGAGTGTGTAGTGAATTGTGATGCTGATGTTCATGTGAGTGTGCAAATTATGCAAAGTGCATTCAATTTTTGAAAAGAATAAAAGAATAGAGGGCTCAAGAAGAGTGGCTATTTCATTTGAACAACAAATACAAGACACCAGCCTTCTGTTCAACAGGTGTCAGGAAAAAAATCTAACGATGAGCAACATCCAGCACTTGGTGAAATTGCTGTAAATACACTCACATAACCATTTAATGTGTAATGGAGTGGTCTTTTCCACTATGTATGTGGGAGACCAAAGCACATAATGCTGTCTCACAGTGATCGAACTGATGCTGGAGAGGAGTCACGATGGAGTGGGAGATGAAAACAGTACTGAGCTATAAGCTTTAGCAGGCCTCCTACGGTGGCTTTACATGGATGTTTGCTTGACAAATGATCTCTCCCACATCCTTAAAATTAAAAATGAATGGCCATAAGATTACCCATCACTCAGATGTGTTTGGTTACTAAGGCTGAAAGGAAATGTAATCAGCTTTATATCACGTCCACTGTATGCACGACAGCTAAGAAGGGTTTTGTCCCTTTCATGGTGTGATTAGGTGTGTCCTGAAGTGAAGCGTTGAGACTGCTAGGATGAACAATGTGGGTTTTTCACTGGTGTGTTATTTTGCAAACTGACCAAGGCATCATTTGCACCGTAAGATGCATTAACATCATGACAAAGCGTTATTCCTGCCAAATGTCATTTCAGTTGTCTTACTTTCTTTGAAATTGTACAGCAATTTTGGTCAGATGACTTGCAAAACAAATATCCTGATCTCACGTTTTTACCTGAATTTCAGAGCAGAAAGGGCTGAGCAACTACCCGATTTATTACAGCCAGAGATAAACATGCAGTCATGTTAATAGGAAGTAGTACGGAAGTATTTATGTTTATACACGATCTCAAAAAGGATGAAGACGGTGAGTTACAGGAATAATGTTCTCTGAGAAAGGGGATCTTTTTGTTGAGGTGGCCTGCCAGAAGCTTCCTCCTCCTGACTTTGTGTTTAACACGGGATAGCATGTTTTGAAGAAGAGAATGAACTGCTTTTATTCACATTGCCCCGGGGCTTTTGAGTGAGAAGAGAACAGGAGACTGCCACACACTGCAGTGGAGATTGGTGCTGTGAAACAGATTGGAGGGGATGTATTGCATGGGGGGGGTTAGTCATCATCGCTGTCCTTTGTGCTCACCGGCCTCATGTGCTGACGGGTGGCTGAGTCACTGAGTTCAGGTCCAGTCTGAAAGGTCACACTGAGTCAGACTGTCACTTCATCGTATGGTCAGGCTGGTTATTACTGAGATGAATTAACAAGTTAATGTCTCCCCAGCTTTTTAAAATACAGGTTAAAGACAATTTATTTCCTCAGAGATCATGTTATTTTTCCCTAGTTTCAGTGTGATTCCACACAGTTGAGTTGAATTCAACCATGCTAAGGCACTGACTTCCTCCTCCTCTTCTTCCTCTATCAGGTGAAGCGCTACCAGTGCATGTTCGAAGGCTGCACCAGGACGTACAGCACGGCGGGAAACTTGCGAACACACCAGAAGACACACAGGGGAGAGTACACATTTGTGTGCAATCAGCAGGGCTGTGGAAAGGCCTTCCTCACTTCTTACAGCCTCAAGATCCACGTCCGCGTTCACACCAAGGAGAAGCCATTTGAGTGTGACGTGCAAGGCTGTGAGAAGGCCTTCAACACGTTATACAGGTGAGTCTTTACACAGCTTTGCTGTGTTTCATTTTTCCGCCTCAGTGCTGTTCACATCGTCATCCCCTCTGCAGGTTCTGTCACGAGACTGTAGTGAAAGCAATAAAGATGAGATTGTGTCATGATAGCAGGTCAATTATTATGCAGGTCCTGCAATAAAGTGGGCGGCCCAACTTGTGTTGTCTTAATACAAACGTGGAGGTTTTATACGAACTACACAACGGACACAAAATAAGTAATTAAATTTAATTCAAATGTGTAACGTGGGCTGTGTGCTGGCAGCTTATTCTCTTCTGACCGCAGTTAGTATTTTGAAGTGTATTTTTTGTTGCCTACAAATCTCAAATTATCTTTATTATAGAAAGAATGACATTTATTTGTGCAAACATGCACAGGATCAGCACAAAATGACACAATGTAAAGCAGTAGAAACAATCCATAGATGGAACAATACCATGAAAAAGCAGAACATTGTTATCTCAGGCTGCTCTGTGCTGTATGTTCTCCTTCACTAATTGCTAGCGTCTCCCTAATCACCCATTCTCCCTAAATGAAAATGCCCTCCTCTAATCCATACGCTTTCACACAAAGGATTGCCTAAATTCTGGAGTTTTAATCTTAACGTTGCAGTTTTCTAACCCTTTTCACTCAGTTTTAAAAAGAATGGTGATAGGTTGAGTTTGTTTATTGAAGGCTTTGTGTATCTTATTTATAATGAGGTAAATCTGCGGCGTGAGATTAACCCTGCAGACGAGTATCTGTCTATGACAACACGAGGCCCAATTACAGCTTTAGTCTATTTTGACCAACACCAGGCATGTTTTTCTTTGGCAGCATTTTCACTGCTCAGATGTTGCTGTGATCTCAGTCCACATCCAAGCCCTCTGATCTGTGTTGGTTCAGTTGCTATGACAACATGTGTGGGGCTTGGTGGAGCTGTGCCACCGCCATCAGCTCCCTGTCAGAGGCTGGTATTTAGGGTGGCCAACCGATGCCACACATGGGTGGACTATCTTTTTCATGGCGTTATCTTCCTATCCCCATCTCCCATGCCACCCAGACCCTGTTATATGATCACATAGTGTGTTGATTGTTTGAGTTGTTTTTATTCTGCCTGACTAGACTATGATGTCTTTTTCATATGCTTTTTTAAACATTCTTAAAATAAGTGCAACAGGGATCAGCACATGCCGTTTAACGCCACTGTGCTCAGTTTGTTCGTTTCTGTATGTCCGCCATTGTGGTTAAATGAAACACTTGATTGTCTCCGCAGACTAAAAGCACACCAGAGACTTCACACAGGCAAGACATTCAACTGTGAATCAGAGGGATGCACAAAGTACTTTACCACACTTAGCGACCTGAGGAAGCACATTCGCACGCACACTGGGGAGAAGCCATTCCGGTGAGCATTCCCATTATCAGGAGGTTTAATCCACCCTTAATAGAAGATGAAGGAACTGTGATGCTAATAAATACTCAGAGACAGCTGTTTTGTGTTTGCTTGTCTACACAAATTAAATGTTTAGGGTTTCGTATTATATTTTTTACTCATAGTGTTAAGCAGAGACCAGAAATATTCATCACTGTCTATTTGCATCTGGTCTGAAACACTTGGCATGATTTCTTTTTCTGTCTTTGCCCTCAGGTGTGACCACGATGGCTGTGGCAAAGCCTTTGCCGCAAGTCACCACTTAAAAACACATGTACGGACACACACAGGTACATATTAGTGGTGTGTGTTGTGTAACCTTGATTTTTCTGGGGAAGCTTGAACAAGGGCGTCTGTTTTTCAGCTGTGCCTAATTTGCATTTACATTGTTACCAGTGCCTCCCACACATAGTTAATTTGAATAGCCTGACCAAATAGATTTTTCCTGCAGCTAGGAACATTTTTATGTGGTTTTGTTTTTACTATGTCGTTCCTCCAAAAGTCTGTGTAGAAATGTAGTGAACAGAGCGGTAATTAAAAGGCTGTGTTCATGTGTACTTGTATTGATTGGACGAGTAACTTCCCTAATTGTTGTTGGCTGTGCTCCTGGGCCTGATGGCTGAAGAACTAAGTTTATAAAATAAGCTTCTCAACTGACTTGTTTAATTTGTCCTCATGTATCTGTAAACTTCCATCTATCTCCATGAAGAAGGTGATCTGCTTTATCTTAATAATTATAGATCAATTAAGTAGGTTAAGTTAATTTTTAATAAGCTGTCAAAGTGCATTGATGATTTCTCTTTGTGTCCTTCCCTCTCTGTCTGTACTCGCTCTGTAGGGGAGAAGCCATTCAACTGTCCCAGTGACGGCTGTGAGAAGACTTTCAGCAGCCAGTACAGTCTAAAGAGTCACATCCGTGGCCACGACAAAGGACAGCCTTTCACCGTCACCCTCACCCATCCGCTCTCTGAAGTGAGTCACAGTACAGCAACTTCTTCTCACTACAGTTGTCATGTTCTCCTTCTCCACGCGAGACCCGACAGCAACATGACACTATGGTCGTCACACTTTTCACTTTATTAAAAACTTGTGGATTTTACACATGCTATGTTCCAGGAGTCCACTGTGCCTTCAATACCAAGGGCATTTTATGTTATGCTCTCAGACACATAACATGGCAAGTTTTACAAATAGATGGGAGGCATTTTAGAGAGTATGTTAGCTAAAAACAAAATCTGCATACCTGCATAATATGGATATTTGCAAATGTCTACAAAAACCTGACATAAAGGGGTTCACACTACGCTGCATTAACCCCGTTAAATCTGAATTTTATCATCACAAAGAGTAGCTTTAGATTGAACCACTTGTATAAAATCAAAATTTGTTTGCCTTATTCAAAGAAAGTTATATTCATGTCATAAACATGATTTTTACATCAACATACAGTAGGTGGTGCTTTCTTTCCCAATCTCACTCCCCTATCATGGCTCAGCATTTGATCCCACAGCAGTGCAAAGTTTAATCAGGTCCAATTCATCTCTTAATTACAGGATGCAAATCACTCGCTGTGCCTCAGTGACCTGAGCCTCATCTCTACTGACTCAGAGCTACGAGAGAACATCCATAATGTAAGTCTGGCCTTGGCTTCAGCTTTGTCAAACACACAGTGGTGTGAAAATGTTAAGCAGTTATCAAGTGGGTGAGTAAAGATGCCAATTAAAGATCTAGTGTTTAGGACTTAGGGGGATATTTTGGCAGAAATTGATTATAATAATGACTATGTTTTCTTTAGAGTATAGTCATCCTGAAATAGGAATTGTTGTATTTTCGTTAAGTTTAAACGTCAAATTCTGAGAATGTTCATGTGAGAGGATTAGCAAACAACATGCCATCCACTTACGTAAAACTGAAACTGTATTTTTAAAGGTCCAGTGCGAAAGATTTAGCAGGATATACTTGAAGAAATTGAATATAATATTCATAACTATGTTTTCATTAGTCTATAATCACCTGAAACTAAGAACTGGTGTAGTTTCATAACCTTAGAATCAGCTGTTTATGTCTGCAGAGGGGGCTGGTCCTCCACAGAGTCCATCATGTTGTTCTAAAGTAGCCCAGAAAGGGCAAACCAAACACTTGCTCCAGATAGGGCTGTTTGGTTTTCGTGTCGGCCACCGTAGCTCTCCTACTCTGTTGTCATACAAGCTTTAGGCCCCGGTCGCACAGAAATCGTTTTGCAGTTTGCAAAATGCAAGGAACACGGCACTGCCTTTTTTGTTTATAAATTGAATGCCACTAGTAAAAAATGCTTGCTGCACCTTTTTATTGTTGCCAGGCAACCACCCCATCACGTCCTTACACTAACCTTCCCATGTAATCAGTCTAGCATGTATTTATTTTTCTTCCCCTCACAGTTATTAGTTGCTAGTTCCTAAAATGGATAGGCAGAGGGTACTTGCTCTTAGCTTTGGTTAGGGTTAAGAGGCTGTCAGCATATAGTTTGTTGGGCACAGGGAAACTGAGATCTGTATAGGTACATGAGACCCTAAAAAGGAGGGTGGATCATGGTGAGTAATACCAGTTGGTCCAGGAGCTTTGCCTCAATGATGGCTATTTCCAGGCATATTATAGGATGACTTGGGGGCAGTTTGACAACCTCCTGTCTGTTGTTGGGCTGTATAGCTCTGGGTATCCAACAGCTGCTACCACCAGTTTCTCTTCATTGTTAAGACCACCACAGAAGGCCCGCCTCTCAAATCATCTACTTGGACAGTGGGGAAAAAGGATGACAAAAAAGAGATGACATGGGGTGCTTTTCTGCTCTGATTTGAAGTTTTCTCAACTCAAGGAGTTCAGAGTGCACTGGCAAAAATGTGAGGGGCCTAGAGTGCAGAAATGCATGAGCATAAAAGCGTAATTTTCATTTTAAACAATTACAAAAAGGCACCTCCAGCTGCTAAAAGGCTTTCTGTGTCATCAGGGCCTTTGTCAGTTGCAATTTGCAACCTCACTGCTAGATGGCACTAAATCCTACACATTAGACCTTTAACAGGCATCTATTTTAACACTGAAAGTCACTTGTCTCTGTGGTAAGACAACAAGAGGACCTGGCTGTTGTGATACTCAGTAAAGTCATGTAATGCATTTATTATGTTTTAACTTCATTACAGGCTCAAAATTTGGACCTCAGCAGTGTGACCCCTGTGAAAATCTTTGAGCTCATGTTCCAGAGTCCTGAAAATAGTGTCAGCCAAGATGATGCCCATCCCAACGGTATGTGCATTTCAAAACCTGTCAGCTTGAATTGAATTAAATGTTCTTGTTCACTGATGGAGTTTTTTTGTCTCTTCCTCAGAGAGCCTTGCTGAATCCTTCAGCCTAGAGAGGTCTACCCAGTCGGTAGTGAGTGATGGCTCGTCCCTCATCTCCTTCTCTCTACACCCCACCTGCTCATCTTCCTGTTCCCACACAACCCCAGTCATGGAGGCTCCTCCCCAGCTCAGTCAGACATCCTCCTCTCAGGCCTCCACTCCTGCCTCTGTCACAGCTACAGTCAGCACCACACAGCCCTCCCCGTTCATGCAGCTAGCTGGGCCTCAGCAGATCTCCGATGTGCCTGCTCAGGCTTCTGTCCAAGCACCCAACCATGTCAACCCCCAGCACTATGTGGCACTGCAACCTACATTCCTGCCGCCGGATACCTCCACCCAGACCACTCCTCTACCACCAGCCATCTCCGCTCCTCCTCCAGTTGCTCCAGCACTGACCACCACAGCGCCAGGCACTGCTGCTGTGTCGGTTGTTGCAGCAAACGCAAAAGATGCTCTGGCAGCTGTGGCCCAACCTGTGCCTTTGGCCAACAACCCTGTCCCCAACCCCGGCCCTGGTTTGACTCCCACGCCCGCCACCATCACCATAGCTCCCACCCAGAACCTGCTGCAGCCCAGCCTGGTTATGTCGGACCAGAACCTCCAGTGGATCCTCAGCAGTGCTGCCAACAGCCAGCAGAACCCAGAGCAAACAGTGAGTGACACTCCCACACAGAGAAACGGTGACCTGATTTATACAAGTCCTCACGTTTTAATACATTCTGAAGTTTAGAAACCCATTCCGACTTGTCTTCTAATCTGAAGTATGTTCATGTGAGATGGTTAGAAAGCAACATGCCATCAATTGCATAAATGATTATGTAAAGTAAACCACTGGGGATAGCTACAGCCGTGGTCAGCGCTGACTCTATCTGCAGTCAGTGTAGCAAAGAAATAGCAATACTTTTTAAAAAAATATACTCTCTAATATAACAGATACACCACACACACTCCTTCAGTGCAGTTAGAAGTCTGGTGCAAACCAACCCTGTCACCTCCTAACATAGTGTCCCTCTGTGGTGTCTAATGTTTGTTTGCAGCCACATCAAGGAGCTCCAAAAGTGGAAAAAGTTTTCTTCACTACAGCCATACCAGTGGGAGGAAATGCTGGTGAGTTAATGAGCAGTGAATTATTATACATTTTTTTCATGTTTTGGACATTGGCCAAAAGGCTGTAATGAAATCGTAAATTTGTTTTGACACCCAGTGTGGTACTTAGCTTTAATAGGATTCATTAAATAGTAGATTGGTGTCCAGAGAGCTCCGCTAAGATACTGTCACAATGGTTTTATTATACAAATGCAGTTCCAAGATGCTGACGCTCAATTAATGCGCAGTGCTGGAACTGTTAAAAACTGTATTCCATTGTAATATTTAATAATAACTTTGACAAGTAAAGGCACAGGATCAGGAACAGTCAAAACTAGTCCACATAAGAAGAGTGCAAGCACTGTCGGCTTATTGATTAACTGACCTCTTCTCAGCTTTAATATTATCCTTATTATCCTCTTCGAGAGAGTCTTGATGAAGTTGATGTTCTTTTAAGGAGACAAGTTATTCCTCCTGTCACAGTCTGTACTTAGGTTTTTATTTGTTGGCCAAGAGGTCCGTCAGTACACGCTGCATTAACTCCTCTCAACTAATGAACACCAGCTTCTTTCTGAGCAGTTAGTTTTTCATCCACTGTAATTTTTTTTATATCAGGGTGTTTTCACATATAGTCCCTTTTAAAACAAACTGACCTTAGTCCTCTTAAAGTGGACCAACAGAAAAAGGACTCAGTTCTCTTTCTGTTCACACTATAGCCTGTATATAATATATTGACGTAGTTTTGTTTTTACTTAGACGCGGCACTGCAGTGTGGTTATGAAGCCTCTCACTTTCAGATGAACTTAAAATTGCAGGAAAACCTTAGCGTCTCTGTGCTGTAGACTGTTGCCGTGTGATGTATTCCTCATTTCACATCTGGAGACGTGCAGTATCTTCCGTGGACCAAACTACTCCTCAATCTGCGGCCTTACAAGCATTACAGGCCGATGTGGTTTTGTCTGTTTTTTCAAGCGTCTCAGTGCAACAGCATGTGATCTAGAGGGCTAAATACAGTATCTCATATAAGTGAGTACACCCCTCCCATTTTTGCAAATATTTCATTATATCTTTTCATGGGACAACACTATAGAAATGACACTTTGATATAACTTAAAGTAGTCAGTGTACAGCTTGTATAGTAGCTGTTGTCTTGGTGCTCTTCACCAAGGTGCCACACATGCTGAAAGAGCACCAAGACAACTGTCCCATGCTTACAGTCAAGTATAGTGGTGGCAGCATCATGGTTTGGGGCTGCATGAGTGCTGCCGGCTCTGGGGAGCTCAGCTCATTTAGGGAAACATGAATTCCAAGCAGAGCATGATCGCCCCTCTTCAGAAACTGGGCTGCAATGCAGTTTTCCAACATGATAATGACCCAAAACACACCTAGTAGATGACATCTGCCTTGCTGAGGAAGCTGAAGGTGAAGGTGATGGACTGGCCAAGTAAGTATCCAGCCCTATACTCAGCTGTGCACCTGTGGGCCATCCTCAAGCTGAAGGTGGAGGAGCGCAAGGTGTCTTCACATCCATCTGCTCCATGATGTCATCATGGAGGAGTGGGAGAGGATTCCTGAAGCAACCTGTGAGCTCTGGTGAATTCCATGCCCAAAAGGGTTAAGGCAGTGCTAGATAATAATGGCTGGCACACAAAATATTGACACTTTAGGCACAATTTGGACATGTTCACTGTGGGGTGTACTCACTTATGTTGCCAGCTGTTTAGATGTTGATGGCTGTGTTTTGAGTAATTTTCAGAGGAAGGTAAATCTATACTACTATACAAGCTGTACACTGACTACTTTAAGTTATATCAAAGTGTCATTTCTATAGTGTTGTCCCATGACAAGATAAAATGAAATATTTGCAAAAATGGGAGGGGTGTACTCACTTATGTGAGATACTGTACAATGGCATACCTGGAGTGCTTTGTGTTCACAAGGCACAGGTTAAGTGAACCACACACTGGGCTTGAAGAGAACCGAACTCAGAAGGGTCTTGGAGTGTTCAATATGTGCAAAAGAAAAATGCTGAGTCACTGCTCGAGTCCGTTTAGAGGTTTGAAATGGTCCAACACCCTTATATATTTTTCTATTAGGCTTTGCAGGACATTTGGAAAGCAAATGTGTTTTCTACTACTTGTTTTAGTGAACCTGAGGTTGTGTTTCTGTTTTCAGGCAACTCAGTCCAACAGATCGGCCTCAGTCTGCCCGTTATCATCATCAAACAGGAGGAATCCTGCCAGTGCCAGTGTGCCTGCAGGGACTCAGCTAAAGACAAGAGTTCAAAGAGTGCCTCCTCCACCGTTTCAGCCCCAGCACAGCTGCAACCTCCGGAGCCCCCTCTGCCCCCACTGCCACTACCCCCAGAGCCTCAACATCATCCAACTCCCTCATCGTCCTCATGCTGCCTCTCTGAGTCTTCCTCCAAGGTGGGCGAGGTGAGGTTGGAGGCCCCCTCTTCTTCTTCTTCTGCCTCCTCCTCCTCCTCCTCCTCAGCTCAGACGTTCTCCACGATAGTGAGCAGCACTGCCACAAACCCTCCCTCGTCTGGCGGGCTAGCCAATATGGACGTCTCGGACTTCCTCTCCCTGCAGAGCCCCGAGACAGCTGCCAACATTGAGGCCCTGCTGCTGGTCGCTGATGACTTCAACATGGCCACTGATGGCAATCCTTAGAAGAGCTGCCTTCTGAATCTGGCACCATGTGTTCGTCTGTTGCACCCACTCATGCACAGGCATCAATTCCACCCACATCTCGAGTCATTCTCCACAGCAGCGCCTCTTCTTTCTCCCTATATAGTCTGTGCATCGAACCCCCTGTACCTGCAGTGCATTCTGTTCTGTATGGCATTGTGCAACATACATATATATATATATATAGATATATATACACAAACTATGGATAATGTTTCTGTTGAGGCTCATTGCAGTAGTTGAGTTTTTAAAAGCTGGATTAGTTTGCTTATTGAGATTTAGCAAAGTCACTGCTAATGAATGCAGGGAAAAGGCAGTAGATCCTTTTGTTATGAGCATAATCAAACTGTATATAATAACCCTCGATTTCCACTCTGAATCAATCGAATGAAACAAATGAGTGTCGTCCAAGCACTGATAACTTAAGAGTTCCTTTTTCCTGGCTTGAAGGTCAAATGCCTGAGCAGGAAAACAAAACTTGTCTGTATATCCTTGTACTGTACTACGGTTCCTAACAAATGCTTAAAGCTGGTATGCAACTGACCAGAATGCACTGTATATTAGAGGAATTTAATTTTAACAAGCATTGCTCCCAGTAGGAATTCAAAGGGGTCGGCCACATAGCCCCCTTATATGGCTGTCATGCTATATAAAGTGTTTTTTGTTTTCTAGGAAGACTAGCGTAGTCCAGAAAATGTGATTTTTCTTTTACTTCTTTTGACAGTAATCTACTAATCGAGAAAAGAACCTGTGATCCGATTTGCCTGTCTTTAAGTGAAATTAATACATCAATAAGTTGCCTATAACTTAAACTAATTTAAAATTGTACATGTTAATTTATTTATATGCCTGATTCTTTCTTGATACTGGTAATAATATTATCTTCAAAATAGCAGAAAATTCTATTAATTTATTCCGATCACTTGTTGTATTTTTACGTTGTGCTGTTTTTATGTTACTGAATTGCTTTTTTTTTTTAAGAACGTAATGGGTATTGCTTGAGAAAAGAGGCACCTATAGTCGACTGCACAGGGAAACAAAGTATCCTGGAGGATGTGCTTGTTTGAAAAAAAAAAATGTCCACAATGAAACAGTAAGGAACTACTGTCAACATCCCATGTTTTAAAGGGTTGTGACCCTCTCAGGGATGCATCAAGTCATAACTGATCCTGGTTCCCTTAATTTGTTATTCAAACTTAAGTTGTTTTTCTCTCATCAGATGCCCCGACTTTGCAGTAGCCCTAAGTTTTGCTGCACTCTTCCCTGTTTATTGCACACTAACTTGTAAAGTGAGTAACCTGATGTGCAGCACCACTACAGACTTTTTTGTATACAACTGCTGTAAAGTAGCATTTAAAAAGATGGTGTCCTGGTGACAGTGTAAATACAGTACATTTTAGTGTAAACATCTTTGAGAAAACTTGTAGATTATTCTAGAATTTGTATTTTTGTATAGACTTTTGAATTACTAACTCTCAGAGTTTGGAGCTAATGTATACCCTTCTATCCTTGCATTCTCCCCCCTCCCTCCAGTCACATTTATGCAGAGGAATTTTTGCTGTGTTTAGTTGAGTAGTCGAAGCAGCTGGGCTTTTGTACAGTCCCCATAGTAACAAGATACATGTAACACATAGCCTCCTGCTCGGAGTATAATTTAACAGTATTGTTTCACACAGCGGGACACAATGCAATGACAACAGAACGACGGCATTATGCCCTGTATGCTAGAGCGTAGAGCTACTTGGCCTTACAACATAACTGTTCTACGAGCCTCCTTGCCTTGACAGTCTCTGCTTCACAGACTTGCCATCGACATCTTCACCGAGTCTCTATCACTCACAGCAGCAGATCACAATTAGGCAAAAGCATCGAGACAGAAATGGTTTCACTAGAATCTGTTTTCCAGCTGTCGGTTTGGAAAGCCGTTAACGTATATGCAGCGTGACGGATACAAGTGATTCGACTTTATAGATCGAGGTCGTGGGAGCAAACCATACTGGCATGCGTGTCACATAACTCTTGTCTGGGTTTTTTATTTTGTGCGTTTCCTTTTTGCCAAAAATTAGGAGTGGAGCTTTCCCTCGATTCACAGGTGCCAAGAGGGCAGTTAGATATGTGAAAAGCTCCAGGCACATTTCGTGCTCCGAACCATTCCATGTATGCAGTTTAAAGATATCAAAAGTGTCTCTACTTATTTACTCGCCATTTCCCAGTTAAGGCTCTGTGAAATTACTGCCAGGAGTCTCATACCATCGATACACATTCTCTTACATGCATACAGTCAACGAACACAACTATGCAATTTTACATGAGGCATTGACAAGACAAAAGGTTATTCACCTCTTCATTAAATTATGTTCTGCCCCAACCTCATGAGAAGAACTCCAGTATCTCGCATTTCATAGTTTGAGTGGTGTAATTCTGGACTTGTCGTGTGTCCAAGTACTGTTCCCCTGAATGTTGCACCACACTGATCCCTTCACATGCTGTTTTAACCCCAACTGGATTTGTTTGAAGGAGTACTTAGTGAATGAATGATTCTGTTTTAAGAATTATTTTTTTGGTCAAGTGTATGCAGCTTTGTTTTTTCCACTTTATGCATAAACTGTTCATTTTGGGCTCACTCCACTTTATGTAATCATCTCAGCCTTTCACATATTAAAATTTGACGTGGATAATCGGTTGGCTCATTTTCACACAATAAAAGTCAAACTTGGAGCTGCAGATATGTTTTATTAATAAGCAGAGAGGTGGTTTATGGTTTGTGACCCAGGTTTGGTTTCTGGAGTTTACCTGGAAAGGTAACGTCAGCATATCACTGATGGAGACGTTTGTTTGGAAGCAGATTGTTTGAGCAGAAAGCGTTTTTGGAGATTGAGATCCAAATTGGGCAATATTTAAATTGCAAAAAAAGGAAACGTCTGCTTCCAGAGGAATGTCTTGACACCCAAAGAGTGAGGAACTGTTGAGGATTTGTATTTTTTAAAAAGAATGTATAATGTGAAAATGTTTGCTTTTGCTTGTTTCGTATAAAGTAATGATAAATACATTTTGGAATTGAGAGCAATATAATACTAATAAAACCTTATCCTTGTCACTGATACCTTTGTTTCTCCCCACTTTCTTTATCCTGTACAGTTCAAACCAACAGTAGATACTAACTTGGGTTTATTTCATTACATAAAATAGAAAAGAAAACAAAAAGACTGCTCCACTTCTGGTCACTTCTGCGTCGGTAGAGATACGTCATGAAGAGATTTTCTCTGCAAACATAACAAAAATTTACTTTAAAAATGTGCAGCAAGTCACAAACATCCGAGATTAGAAAAGAGAGCTCACCACTAAAACATCACTGAGATCCTTCAAGTCGTCCAGGATCCTGTTGCAGAGGGTGATCTTCTCAGACAGGCTCACCAGTCTGTCCCCGACCACCTCCAGGTTCTGTGGATGATAAAACATGTCCGAAGTAGTTTTTGGGCACACAGTGATCAGAAGTTGAGCTTTAGATTGTGTCTGACCTGTTTCACCAGTGACACGCCCTCATCGTTGCGCAGGGTCACTGTTTCCTCTGTACAACCTGTAACTGTTAACAAACACACTCAGACAGATATTAATAATATAAGAGTTAGCTGATAGATGCATGTGTTGTTACCTGTGTCCGAAGCCATGACAAGAGACTTATCATTTGTCTGGTAAATGTTGCATTGTGTGTGAGCTCTGTGTTTTAGGCAGGTGCTCACAGGTGATTATAATTTCCCTAATTAATGAGTGATGAGGAGGCCAAGCAGGCAGGCAACTTGAATTTAAAAAAAGATATGAGCGTTTGAAGAAATAAGTTGCATACAACAACATTTGAGCTGCAAACAACCCCAGCCCAGGATGTTTTCTTATTTTATTTTATTTAGTTTAGTTTAGTCTAGTTTAGTTACATTTACTTGCACATACATGTATAGAAAATACAGGAAAAAGAAATTAAAACCTTGTGCAGGAGAGGTTAGAAGCCAAATGGCACAGCTCTTTAAAAAAGCAATGTTTTATACCATCAGCTCTACAAAATATTTCATTTAATTTAATTTTATATTTTTGTTCAATAACATCAATTAAGTAATTTAATTTAAAACAGCTATCACACAATCAGAAGTCCAAACTTTATTTACACCGGAGATCTGAAACAACGTGCTGCTGGCCCTTTAAGAAAGTCCGCGTCATTGTTTGGGGGCGTAACCCGGAAGCCGCCTGTTATTTCATCGGGCGACAACATGCTCCCTGGCTGAAATTAGACCTCCGCCGCTGTATCTTTGATTATATGAAGTGTGTTCGTCACATCGCTGCTGAGTTACTGAAACCCAGAGGCGCTCACAGCTCAGCCGCGGCTCGTTCACCCGGAGCAGACATGTGTAAAGAGCTGAAGACCAAAGTGCTGAATCTGTTAGCGCCGACCTCCAATGAGCCGAGTGTTCGTCAGGAGGGCCACACAGGTTAGCTCTCACACACAGCAACAGTGCACGTGCGTCCCTTTACAGTGTTGGTGTCTGACCCTGATAGATTTTAGCTACTGAAGAAAGATTAACAGGTTGTGTTTGCGGCGTAAACATTGCAGCACGTTACATCAGAAACCTGATTGTCCAGTCGTGCATGTCATGGACCTGCCCAGACCTCAGACTGTACACAGCCTGTTGCTCAGACACAGAGTTCACGTCATAGTCCAGATGTTTAGGAAAGTTACATTAAATACTTGACTACTACCTTAAGAAATAGTAACCCGTACATATGGTCATTATTTTAGTAAGATGTTAGTAGCACCCCAGTTGCTGTACCCTGTTAGTTTAGATTTGCTCATAAATTGAATTGGAAAAATATTTGGAGTCTCCCAAATATCTCCTTACCAATAATGTGAGGGAAGTTTCTTCAGTAACCATACATGGATGTTATCCTGTCATTCTCTTTTTTTTCTGACATTAAAAATACAGATGTGTTGACTGTTCATTTTGTGTCCAGAAACACTGTTGCATTCGGCAGTGTCCCTACACTAACCAAAAAGATGTATCCAGATATATTGCTGATAACAGTGACTCTGAAGTTTCTCTTTACTGGAAAAATGCACCATTTGGTATCTACTTTAAGAATAATAACAACAATAATAATAATAATAATAATAAAAACCTCCATATATTCAATTTGATGATCATTCAAGCAGAGTTTCACATTCATATGTCCAAGTTTAGCCAGTCTAAACATGTAGCCCATTTTTAGTATTTGGAAATGAAACTAAACAATGAATTAAAACCATTTTAACTCAAAAAAATAAGAAAGCTGCAAAAACCATTCAAACACACTTGAGGACTTACAGATTTGTAATTAGTGAATCATTATGAGTAATTGCTCATTACAGAGTTTTACATTACTCACAGATGCACTAATGTGTAAGCATCATTTTTTTTAAAAAAAAGTATCTGTTTCAAGCTGAACAGTAGAAACAATAGCTATGTTTTATATGTTATGCATGTAACGCTTATTCTTAACCAGTATGCTACTTACCGCAGTTATGAGATCAGTGTTGTAGAGGGGGGTGCATAGTTCTCTTTGAAACACAGTGGACAGAGATGGGCAAAAATACACCAAAAAATATGTTGTTAGAAATTACAAATACTTGGTCACGAAATGTGTCAAATTAAAATACAAGATACTGGTCTGGCTGTGTGAGACTAAGTGACAGTAATGCACCAGTTCTTTCAGATGACAATAAGACTGGGCATTTAGTAATAGTAAGTAGTAAGATCTTAAACTTCACAAGCAACCAATTATGAGTGCAAAAGACACAAACAGTACCATTACAGCAGAGTATGATACAGTACAAAATACATTAAGAGAAGTTTACAACTGGAGATATAAATCTGTCTAATTTGTGAATAAAATGACATGGCAGCTAATGTATTTTAAAGATGCAAACACAAGCCCTTTTTGTGACAAATTACATTTCTTTTTCTGCCAATATACTCAAAATAGTCAGAGGTAATTAAATACGGATTTTAAATACAGTTAATAGAAATACTGCAGTGGACTAGATGTATGAAGTAACACAAAAAGTGAAAAGTGCTGTTTTAATGTAATGGTTTTTTAATTCAATTAGACTTCAAGTCATTACTAGAATACATTTAGGGGACTCACAAAAAAAAAAGATTTTTCTAAGAAAGGTCAACATGATGCAGCCGAGGCTGAGACATCTTGACTTTTATAGCTTTTAAAACATCTCGCCAAATGACTGCAGTTGAAAATTAGCCAGCTGGCAAACACTGGCCCATTACAGAGAAATGTTGATTAATGTGTGTTGTCCCTTTAAGTAAAATAAATTGAATTAAATCTCTAGTATGGGTTAAGATCCAAAGTACTACACTCCCACACAATGCATCTAAATAGCAGTGTTTGACTCAGTTCTGTAACTGTTCTCACAGGCTGAGTAGCCCTTAGTCAACCTTTTATTTTAACTTGGAAATACGAGTTGGAGACCGTTTTTCTGTGTAGGAAAGAATAAATAAATGAAAAAAATAAATAAAAATAAATAAAAAATATTTAAAAATAAGAAACTACAAATTCAAAAAAAATCCCAGTCACCCAGGACACATTTAAAAACTTAGATAAAAATGTCAATAGAAAGTACGAATGATAAAACATCAGAATAGTAAAATGATAAACTCTTAGAAAACATAAGGAATTAAAATTTAAGGAAATAAATGAATGAACTGAAATGGGGACAGCTGAAAGTGAGAGAGGGTGAAATTAAAAATTTAAATTGCCCTAAGGATAAAAATGTGATAAACTGGATTTTCGACACTCAGTAAAAAGTGTCGGCACCTGCAACATAATCCAAACTTTGAGCATGTTTGATAAGGATAAGATTCACATATGAAATAATTGGAAGACGTGCAATTTATGACCCACCTCCTCTGCAAGTTTCTCTCTTTCAGCCCTTAAATACACCAAAATCAGTTTCCGATATAAAACTGACCTGCTCAGTGTAGTATGGTTTAAACCGGTGTAAAATTTTGTTACGTTTGTCATCATGGTGCCTCCATTGACCCTCCTTGTTTCTGAACTGCAGATGGTGCTGAAATCCTGAGTTGCACGGTGAAGGCTCTGAGGGAGGGTCATGTGGTCGCTGTGCCCACAGACACCATCTACGGCCTGGCGTGTCTGGCCCAGAACTCTGAAGCCGTGAAAAAAATCTATGAAATCAAAGAACGAAATGGACACAAACCGCTGGCCATCAGTGTGGGAGAAATCCAGGATATCTACAAGTAAGTGTGTGCGCGGGTGTCTTCAGTGTTACCACCAGAATGAGAGGATGACTTTGACCTGGGCCTGATGGATGGTGAACAGTGAACGTGACAGGCTGATATTTCACACACTTTGAGTGCAGGTTTTTTTTGTAATTTAAAATATCAGTGGTAACTGTCGGCGTCAGTCCTTCAGGAGGTGGTTTCTTTGCAGACCTTCCATACAGCACACAAGTGTTAGTCATCCACAGATGTGTCACATGTAGAGAGGCAGAGACATCGTCTGTGCACCAACAAGACACATTTTTACATCCTGAGTGACAGTCACACCTGCTGTCACAGAATACCACAGCATTCATTATTTCATTAGCTCAGTGAACATGTCTTAAATTAAGGCATTTGTAAGTTAATCACAAAATTAATAGAGAGGCGATGAGGCAGACTATTAAATGACAACATCCTGAAATGTGTAACATCACTGTAGACTGTATACAATAATGGATGTAGCCATCATGATGTCACCCACATTTTGAAGCCTCAAGTTTGAGGTCGCTGTGGCCACATTTCGTTTGGAGCCTACACGACACGCCCCTGCAAACCACACCCACCACCAGCACAACACCAACCCACCAACACAACAGTTATTAGTGCCCAGCTACAATGCCACGTAGTAGTGATAGACCAAGGGGCAAAGGGGGGTGACCGTGGACTGATGTGGGCGGGTCACGTAGCTGCTCCAACTGCAGGTATATCTTGCACAGCAAGTTTGGCATTTTGGTCAGCGCCATCTTGAATTTTTTGAGCTGTCAATCCGTCCATTTTCATCTGCTTATACGGGGCCGGGTCGCGGAGGCAGCAGACTGAGCAAGGTGCCTGAGACGGCCCTTGTCTCAGCCAGGTTTCCATGCCTGGAACACCCATATCGGGAGGCGCCCAGGAGGCATCCTGATCAGATGCCCGAACCACCTCGACTGACCCATTTCGACGCGAAGGAGCAGCGGCTCTACTCTGAGCTCCCTCCAGATGTCTGAGCTCCTTACCCTATCTCTAAGGCTGAGTCCAGGAAATTCATTTTGGCCGCTTGTATCCAAAATCTCGTTCTTTTAGTCACTTGTTGGAGCCAGAAGACAAGAGGGTGGAGCTAACCCTGTAGCTATGAGCACGGTTAGCATGTTGCATTTACAGCTACAGTTAACTGTGATAATGTTAATGCTACTTTTTGCTAATGAAAAACAGGCTAAAAACCATCAAAGATACTTTACAAAGATACTGAATATTCATCTCTTTAGAGCGGGGGGCTGTCGAACTCATTTAGTTAATGGGCCACGCACAACCCAATCTGATCACAAATGGACCAGATAGTAAAACCACTGTATAATATCCTATAAATAGAAACCCCTCTAAATGTTCCCCTTTCTTTAAGTGTAAATATGCACGCTCTGAAAATGTTCAACCTTTCACAAAGCAGGTGATGAACAGATGATCAACTTGTCTCCATGCACAGGTACTGTAAGGTGAAGGTGAAGGAGGCGCTGTTGGCTGACCTGCTGCCTGGTCCCGTCACTCTGGTGTTTGAGAGATCTGAAGCACTGAACACAGACCTGAACCCCTTCACTCCAGTAAGTCAGCAACTTTCAACCTGATGTTACTGAAAATAAAACTGGTTTATTAATGAATGTCAGTCGTGTGTTGTTTACACGTCCATGTGCTGCTCAGCTTGTAGGCGTACGTATCCCAGACCATGACTTCATGAGACGTCTCTGCCAAATGTGTGCAGAACCACTCGCACTTACCAGCGCCAACGTCAGCTCACACACCAGCACCGTGGCTGTACATGTAAGTGGAAGAAAGTACACTACAACTTGAAAGACATTTTTACAGTCTCACATCCACTATGTTTTAAAATTTCATTCAGTACGTTTCCCACAGCATTGGAACGGTGTCTCTCTGTGTTTTATCTCTATGTCATGTGAGTTTACAAAATGTTTTTTAATCTTAAACGCTGCTGTGTTTCTGCCTCTGAAGGAGTTTCAGGAGCTCTGGCCAAACCTAGCAGTGGTGGTGGACGGCGGACCGATTGGAGACAACAGCCGCCTCGGATCAACAGTGGTCGACCTATCAGTGCTCGGCAAATACCGCATCATCAGACCCGGCTGGTGAGTTCATACTGGGACCCAGTTACCTTTCACTTTGTGCAGTTGCATGTGCCTTTCTTTACTCTGCTGAGCACTCTCCTACTGCACTGAGCAATTACTTTAGCATTCAAGTGGCTACCCATTTTTTCATTGATATAATTTTAGCCTCTTCACTATTTATCACTGTACACATGTACACAAATATATTACCATGATTAAAGGTCACATTATACTTTCATGCGACAAAATAGCTGTGAGGATGTGATGGATCAGATTGCAATTATAAATAAATATTGATCAGAGCAATGTGTAAACACTGTATGAAACTGATGCTGCAGTTTGTCATATGTGCAAAGCTACATCACCGTTAGAATAATGACTTGTGCGTCTCCAAACATATTTGCATGTCCCAAAATCCTTCCCACATACTAAGCAGGCTTTTAGCATGCAGTGTGTTCACAGTGACAAAGTGACACTCAAAGCAGACAGTATGCAAACTGAATACAGTCAGTTTGAGTGTGGAGGATGGTTACAGGTGGAACATACTGAAATAGATTATTTTAATGTCTCTTTGTGAAGTTTGAAGGTCCAGTGTGTAGGATTTCGGGGGTATATTGGCAGAGATATGATTTGGGAATTTAAGTTTGTTTTCTGCAGGCAAAGTTGAAGAGGAAACGTACCCTTAAACTCAGCAGTCGTACAGGCTGTAAATGAAGTGAATTGGAGACAGAGTGAATATATGCAAGACTGAAGTATAATGTGATTGTACCGTCAGGTTTCCTGCTTACTAACCAAGTCAGAGAGAAGGCAACATACACACCAAAGAAAAGCATGAGCTGATTTCCTAGAAAGATCCACCTGCGTCAAACACCTGACAGTGCTTTTTGTTTCCTGCTGCTGCTGTGCTTTCTACTGATGCAACATCATCACAATGTGCTCCACCACTGGGAGGATGAGCCTCCTGCACCACCTGCTGTGATTATGAATCTCCCAGAAATTAATTAACAATCTGAAGTCAGAGAATGTGCAGACAGAATATGTAAATACACAGAAGTAATCAGGGGTGTTGGAATTAATTAGTGGACTAAAACATGGTTCTTGACACAAATGGGCACCAACAGTGATTAAAATCTTGTTGAGTAGGTTTATTGCATTGTGTCTTATAGACTATATAAAATAATGGACGCAGTGACGTCACCCATTGATTTGTGGACTTCTGTTTTGAATTCTCAAGTAAAGCATTTTAGCCGTCCCCATTTTGGGTTTTTGGAGCCGGAAGTGACCATATTTGGACAAGAGGATGGGCCAAACACTAGCGCTAGCTGCTAGCTTAGTCAGCACGGTGCATTTACAGCTATAGTTAACTGTGATAATGCTAATTGGCATGAGCGAAAAACAGGATTAAAACCTTTAAAACAAAATGTACTTGCCTGAAAAACTGAAAATCCGACTCCTTTTAAAAGGTCTTTTATTACAACCAAACACTGAACAAGACTTTATTAGGCAACCCAAAGATTTAACTTAACTTAAATGAACCAACGTTCGTCACCATGACAGGGATTTGGCAACAAATGGCACCCACCTGTCACTCAAAGCAGCCACGCCTTTAATATGCATAACTGTAAATGCAAACAGCAGTGTAATATAAAAATTCAGCTCCTGTACCCCTGTACAGTTGTCATGAACGGGAAAATTGGCTATAGAGACAAAAATCCTTTTTTGTACCAGGCTGTAAACATGTTAATTTCTGCTTTAAAGTTGGCCATTTTAACATGGGGGTCTGTAGGGGTTGACTCGTTTCAGAGCCAGCCTCTAGTGGTCATTAGAGGAACTGCATATTCTGGCACTTTAGCTTCATTTACAGCCCCAGAGGTTGCTGCTTGGTGCTCTCACATTTACCCTGAAAGACACTCTGTACATTAAACAAGAACTGTAACGCTGTTTTTTTCAGTGCCCTTTCTTCTACGGTTGATGTGCTGGAGCACAAATACGGACTGTCAGAGGACTCTGGGGAAAAATGACCTTTGAACTCTCCACAACACACGCTGAGACGCACAACCAGCTTTGACCCCGAGGCTTCTTCAGAAAAGATGAATCCTTTTCATGTTCACACGGAAGTCTTTCCGGGGAGGATGAGAACTCAGGAACAACTGGATGGCAGATAATGTTCTGGTGGCTGCTTTAAGGTCTGGAGTAAGTTTTACCTTTTGATAACCATATTTTGTGCCTTACTGTGTCTGCTATCATGGGATTATGTGGGATCTCAACATAGAACAGGTCACCTATACAGTATGGGATTCTTTTTTTTAATTTTATTTTTTGCATAAAATTAAAACTATGTATCTTTTGTATCATCAAAACAGGTGGTTTAACTGATATGAATGGTTTGAGTTTTTATTTTAATATTTCTATAATGGTAAGAGGTGATGAAGACTCCTTTTTTATGTCCTGAATAGTTATTTGTGATACGAGGTGGGAGGAACTCTTGAGAATTGCATTGACTATAGATTAAGCCTGTTGAATCCAGAACTATTTTTTACTAACTTATGAATCCTCTGTATTTATTTGATCCGCATGTCAGTTTAACAGCGTCAGGCTCACTCTACAGTTTGTCAGCAACTACAGTCACAATAACTGTTTTATGTTGTAGTTTAAAGGGACAGTTCACCCCAAAATAAAATTTAGATATTTTTCCATTTACTTGTAGTGCTGTTTATCAGTCTAGATTGTTTTGGTGTGAGTTGCAGAGTGTTGGAGATATCGGCCGTAGAGATGTTTGGCCTCTCTTGACTATAATGGAACTAGATGGCACTTGACTTGTGGTGCTCAAAGCGCCAAATTATATTAAAAAAACTCAATAGCAATGTCTCCTAGAAATCTGACCTGGTTACTCAAGCTAATCCTCAGAACTTGTTGTGAGCAGTTTGATATAGGAACTGTTTCTTTCTACCAAACTACACTTGCTAAACGTATCACTGCGCAGATGGAAGTGTGCATCCACTCACGTATGAGAGGCTTGTACTCGTGACAGCACGAGATGTAAACATTAATGGCGTCCTTCTCGGCTGAGCTGTAACATTAGATAGCTCAGTGGTGCTAGGTGAGCTAGTTGTAGATGCACTCTTCCTTCTGTGCTGTGATACAGTTGGCGGGGTTAGTTCAGTAGAAAGAAAATAGTTCATATTAGGGCTGCCCCTGACTAAGAATTTTCCTAGTCGACCAATAGTCGTCATTTAGCTCCATTAGTCGACTAGTCGCCTACATGTTTATGATATTAATTCAGTTATTAAATGATATATTTTGGGCGGGGCAACACAATGATTTGAGTTGAAGGTGTGAGAAAGAATAGTATTAGTAACATTGTTAACACTGTGCTACATTACAGAGAAATACAAAACCATACTAATGAACCTTCATTAATATAGGCCTATATTTTATCTACAAGTGCACGTCACACACTGAGCGAGCCGCCTGTTAATGACGCTGTCAGCAAAGCAGTAATGATTGTGCTAAGTGGCTAATGGGCATGTAGCTACTTCCATGTTTCAGATGATACGTCATGTTTGTAGTCGACCAATGAAGATGAGTTTACATATCACCTTGGGTTCATCCTTCACCTTCTCAAAATGATCCCACACTTTGGATTTCCTGCCCGACATGTTATTAACTAGCCTGTGGAATAACCGCAGGTACCAGCCCTGGAAATTAGGGGCCGTACACATGCTGCATCTTTAACCGCCTGGAAAACTTGAGGTCGGGCGCTGGATGCTGGATACTGGATACTCTCTTGCGTCTTTTTTTGTGCTGGCTTTCAAGAGCACGGTGGCGCTTTGCGTGATTGAAGACAGACAACTCACACCAAAACAGTCTAGATTGGTAAACAGCACTACTGATAAAATATGTTTTTGATTTTGAACTATCCATTTAAACTATATTTCATTCACAAATTGGGAACATATTTCAAAGATGTGTCGATTAGCACATGTACTAAGTGGAAACTCATAATGAAATTCATCCGCCCACCTGTATGTTAAAAATGAGCATTTTTAAAATTCCCATCACCTGCTGTAAACTTGTTTTAATGGACTGTAAAACCTTTGCACAGCCACAATAAAATGTTTTTTTTTCAGTATCAGACTGTCATTCATGCATAAGAAGCTATTTTAGAAATACGCCTGTCTTTATTTCAGGTGTCTGAAAGTTAAGTGTTTTTAGAAAAAAGAAAAACCACTCAGAAGCGCCCTTCACAACCAAAGAGCATACTTTTATTCTCAAATATGTCTGTCTGAAAGTAGCTTTTACTTTAATAGACAGCAGGATTTCATCCAATCTAAACCACAGGAATCCATATAACAGAGTGCTCCGGTAAGTGGTACATTTTTATTCATACAGCCACTCCAAAACCCTGAGCCCTTCCTTCACACTTAACACCTGATTCTGTTGTTTTTACTGAGGTGAATGAAGTTAATGTGTGCCCACGATCAACATGGCTTCTTTCCATTAAGAGAATTACAACGAAATTCAGATGAATAGAGGAAGAACTTAAAGAACTTTTTACAACTTCAAGGCCAAGTTTAGCTTAAATACACTTCAGAAGGGGCGACACGGGGGTGCAGGGGTTAGCATTGTCGCCTCACAGCAAGAGGGTTCCTGGTTTGAACCCCCCTGCATGTTCTTCCTGTGTCAGGGTGGGTTTTCTCCAGATGCTCTGGCTTCCTCCCACAGTCCAAAGACATGAAGGTTAGGTTAGGTTAATTGGCGACTCTAAATTAGTTGGTGTGAATGTGGTGGATTCACAGCACGCGCGTGGTCGTCTGTCTTTATGTGTCAGCCCTGTGATAGTCTGGCAACCTGTCCAGGGTGTACCCTGCCTCTCACCCAATGTCAGCTAGGATATTCTCCAGCACCCCCACGACCCCCAACAGGATAAGCGCTATGGAAAATGAATGAACACTTCAAAAGCCTGTCTGACTTGCGTTATTTTCCCAATTGATTGACCCTCTGAACCTGAACACCTCTATGTGGAGAGGAGCAGAGCTAATCTGCATGCTATAATATATAAATACTTGAAGTGTATTTTGTTTTACTTGCCAACTATTATACTTTTCTGAAGTTTCAGAAGTGGGGTTTCACTTCTGCAGCTTTTTTGACAGAATTAAAAAAAATCTGAAATGATACAAAACCGTCATTCAAAATCACACAACATTTGACTCTTACAGCAAAATTTGACCTATTGGCAAATAAACATATTCCCTTTCTTGCTGAGAGTTAGAGAGGATAGACGTAGCAGCATGGTTGCCAGGAAACCAGCGGACTCCAGAAGGTCAGAAATTGTCATTAAACTACAATATGTCATTTTTACACATCGGTTTTTGTAGGGACTAACAAATGAGGTATAATGGGTTAATAAAATATCCTTAGAACTGCAGGTCAATAACTTTTGTGACTGTTTCCAGTCTTAATGCTAAGCTATGCTAACTGTCTGTAGCTTCATATTTAACAGACAGATGTGAAAGTAGTATCAATCAACTGTCTGCCAGAAAGTGAATTAATGTATTGCCCAAAATGCTAAACTGTACACTTGCATGCCTCACCCCTACTTACTGTTTTTAAAGCACCATATCATCACAGCTTCAATGAGCTCTTGAGTAAAGGGAGGATCAAAATTAGTGTCTCATTCAGTTTGATCGATGAAAGCGAAACCTTAGGAGTGTCTGGCTACTGTAATGGATACTATTCTTTAGCTGCAGAGAAGGAAATGAGGCTCTCATGTGATGACCGTTTTCTCAGTGTGTTTGAGACAATCGTTCATTAAATTGCATCAAGTGGACGAACACCAGATTCGGCCTTTTACAGCTCAATGGAAACTCCCCAGAAACTCAACGGAGAGAAGTCACACCGCCGACCGTCCTGTTCTTGCAGATCAGCATGTGTGTACAAAAGTATGCACACACTCGCAGAAACTCTCACATCCGGTCCAGTTAAAGGTAAAAGCATGTTCTCACACACACATCTGTATTGATCAATCTCTACATTCACTCCCTCTCTTTTGTTCTTTCCCTTTCATGTGCACACACACTACCACTAGAGCATGCTGTTTCAAGTCACTTTGATGAGAGCTCACATGAGCCACTGCTCCTTCTCTTTGTTGAACTGCTCCGCCCAGCGCCGGGTCAACTCCAGGTAGTGATCGGGTCCATGCGGCTGATAGTCCAAGTACACACGGGTCACCGTCTTTTTAGGCACTGCCCTCTCTATCTGCGTCCCCTCGTGCCACTCATTAAAAGACGTGATGGTGACGATCTCCGGCCTCACATTCAGCGCCGCCTGCAAGGCTGTCTCGTAGTAACGACCGTTCACCCTGTTGCGCATGTTGTGGTTGTTCCACGGCCGGATGCTGGTGTCAATATAACCAGGTCCGACACTGGGGATGAAGAGGAGATTGTTGCCGTCACAAAAGGCTTTGATGGCCTTCCAGTTCTGGTGAGAAGAGCCGAAGGAGAAACCGTTGGAAGCGAAGTAAGTGTACATGCCATCGAAGCCGCCTGCGAGGATGTCGTGCTTGTGGCGCTCCTCCACAATCAGGGCAATGAAGATGGCGTCATAGGCAGAGCCACGCACACTGTGGGAACCGGTGGGAGTCAAGAATTCAGACCAGGACTCTGGAGGAGTCAGGTAGGAGTCATAGATATAAAATAGAGGAAGACTCTTCCCTGTGCTGGTAGTAAACTTGTAGAAGGCTCCATGGTCTCCGTACCTTTAAAGACAATAAAACAATACAATAATGACATGGTTAGTTAATGATGAATTAGTTGATTAACAATAAGTTGATCAAGTCAAGAAGCTGCAATGCTGATTTTTCAAGTAGTGAGGCTAAAAATGTCCACCTTCTCCTGAGTCTGGTGGTAGAGAAAGAACATGCAGGTCATTCAAATCAATTCAAAAGTGTTTATCCCCTGAGGAGCATGAATGTAGTCAACAAGTGTCATTGGAATCTATCTGCTAGATTATTAGATTTCTTGTGCTTCAGGTTGATCATGGGATATGAGGATAACACAAGAAGAAATCTCATTTTGAAAATGGGAAGGGTTTATCCTCTGGAGAGCACAAATCAGCCCAGTAAGTTTTTTTTGACAATCTTTTTGATCTTCTACAGGAACAACTGGCCTGACTGTTCTGGTTTGAAAACTCACTGTGCACGACCTGCTCAACACCAAACAGAGACGAGACACAGCTGGCAACTAACTGGTGTTTACAGATGAGCATTTCACAGCTAAGGAGCCAGATATTTCCCTCGGGAGTTGATGGCCACCAAAAATAGAATTAACAAGGAGAGTGAATATTGGACTTACACTCCCCAGATAGCCGGAAACACAACTTCAAATAATGATTAAGTTGCTCCGTGTTGCTGTGTGTAAATAATAAACTGTTGGCTTGTGTAAATGAAAAACATGAGGAAATGTCAATATTGTGTTTGCAACAACTTTCCACTGCCCCCCAGTGGCCTAAAAAAATCACCTGTTACAGGATGAAATACTACATACAGGGTAAACAGTTGACAAAAGGAGATGCTCTATATTAAATAGTTTGAGACCTTTATAGGGTTATAAAAAACATTAAGATTTATCCTCTGTGTACCATAAAGAATTTAATGGCCTCAGGTACGTTGTTGTGAACAAATATGTTGGTCGAGGGAAACTTATGACCAAATAGTGGTGCTAAATGACAACTAGACCTGACCATCACTGTGAGGGCAAAATGTGAAGATTTGCCCTTTATTATTATTAATTAATTTCTTTCTAATTTTTTTTTTGTTAGAAACTCGATTTCTTGTGTAAATGTTTTGGAGGTTTGGGCTTTTGAGTCAGTATGGACTTGACAAGTTCTCCTTTTCAGAGCAACCTTTATACTCAAAGGTTAGAAAAATAGCTTTTGCTTTCCACAAACTCATCCATAAGTCATGAAACTAGCCTTACATAATCAAAAATGCGTTCTAAAAGTATTTCAGTTTTGTAACTAATGTTATTTCAACTGTGCATGAAATCTTAATGGTTTTCTATTTAAGCTGAGTCAGTGATGGAGAAGTGCAGCCCACCTGTCAATGATATACTTGATATTGTCATGCACACTCTGGTCGTTTCGTCCTCTGTATGGTTGGATGTGAAATGCAACCTATGAAAACATGCAGAAAGACATACACCTTGTTAGTTTCCATTCATCATGTTACTGCCATGAAAAAAGACAATCACAGTCAGGAATCAAAGATGATTTTAGTGAGTGTTGACTTCAAATCAACATTCAGTCTTAAGAGGTAGACTTCTCAAAGAGGGCAGACAAATGCAACAATATGATCTCCTGGTTTCTAGTTAAAGTTCAAGAAGCGATCAGGAAAAAAAAGTCATAGTATAAATTTGCCATAAAATTTCATAAAAAAGTATAGTATGCTGTTATAGTAGCATAAAAAAAATAATCATAGTATAGTATGTCATAAAAACGTAAAAAGTCATAGTATGTTAAGTCATAAAATATGTAAAATTAAAAAAAATGTATACTATAGTATGTCAACAAATGCAAATAATAAATGTTTTACGAGAAGTAATACCATAGTAATACCATACTATAGCATGTCATAAAATATAGAAATATAGAAAAAAATGTCATAGTATAGTATGTCAAAAATATAGAAAACAAATGTCATAAGATAGTGTGTCATAAAATATAGAAAAAATGTCATAGTATAGTATGTCAAAAATATAGAAAACAAATGTCATAAGATAGTGTGTCATAAAATATAGAAAAAATGGCATAGTATAGTATGTCAAAATACAGAAAGAAATGGCATAGTATAGCATGTCATAAAATATAGAAAAAAATGGCATGGTGTAGTATGTCATAAAATATAGAAAAATTAACATAATATAGTATGTCATAAAATATAGAAAAAAGGGCATAGTATAGTATGTCATCAAAAATGGGATAAAAACATCATAGTATAGTATGTCATCAAAAATGTTACAAAAATGTCAGTCGTCAGGAAATTGATGAAAACGTCTCAGTATATGTCGGAAAAAATGGGATGAAAACATCATAGTATAGTATGTTGTCAAAAATGTCATAGAATAGTATGTCATCAAAAATGTGATAGAAACATCATAGTATAGTATGTCTTCACAAATGTCACAAAAATGTCAGAATAGTATGTCGTCAAAAATGTGATAGAAACATCATAGTATAGTATGTCTTCACAAATGTCACAAAAATGTCATAGAATAGTATGTCGTCAAAAATGTGATAGGAACATCATAGTATAGTATGTCGTCAAAAATGTCATAAAAACATAGTATAGTATGTCATCAAAAATGTGATGAAAATGTCATAGAATAGCATGTCATCAAAAATATGATAAAAATGTCATTGTATAGTATGTCGTCAAAAATGTGATAAAACTGTCATTGTATAGTATGTCATCAAAAATGTGATAAAAATGTCATAGTATAGCATGTCGTCAAAAATGTGATAAAAATGTCATAGTATAGTATGTCATCAAAAATATGATAAAAATGTCATAGTATAGTATGTCGTCAAAAATATGATGAAAATGTCACAGTACAGCATGTCATCGAAAATGTGAAAAAAAGTCATAGTATTGTATGTCGTCAGAAATATGATAAAAATGTCATAGTATAGCATGTCGTCAAAAATATGATGAAAACATCATAGTATATAGCATGTTGTCAAAAATGTGATAAAAATGTCACTGTATAGTATGTCAAAAATGTGAAAAAAAGTCATAGTATAGTATGTTGTAAAAAAATATGATGAAAATGTCATTGTATAGTATGTCATCAAATATGTGATAAAAATGTCATTGTATAGTATGTCATCAAAAAATGTGATGAAAATGTCAGTAAAGTATGTCATCAAAAATGGGATAAAAATATCATAGTATAGTATGTCATCATAAATGTCACAGAAACGTGATAGTATAGTATGTTGTCAAAAATGTGATAAAAACGTCATAGTATAGCATATCGTCAAAAATATTACAAAAATGTCAGTCATCAAAAAATTGATGAAAACGTCTCAGTATATGTCGGAAAAAATGGGATGAAAACATCATAGTATAGTATGTTATCAGAAATGTTACAAAAACATCGTAGTATAGTATGTCATCAAAAATGTCATAGAATAGTATGTCATCAAAAATGTGATAGAAACATCATAGTATAGTATGTCGTCAAAAATGTCATAAAAACATCATAGTATAGTATGTCGTTAAAAATATGATGAAAATGTCATAGTATAGTATGTCGTCAACAATGTGATAAAATCGTCATAGTATAGTATGTCGTTAAAAATATGATGAAAATGTCATAGTATAGTATGTCGTCAACAATGTGATAAAATCGTCATAGTATAGTATGTCGTCAAAAATGTCACAAAAACGTCATAGTGCAGTCTGTCGTCAAAAATGTGATAAAAACATCATTCAAATAAACACAAGAAGTTTGTGCTCTAACTTCTTGTGTTTATTTGAATGATGTTTTAAATTATCATCGAAATGCAGAAAAACCTAAAATAGTTGTTTGTCAATGAATGGGTAAAAAGTCATGGTAAAGTATATCATACAAATGGGTAAGATAAAAACATACCATAGTCCAAAGACATGCAGGTTAATTGGGGACTCTAAATTGCCCGTAGGTGTGAATGTGAGTGTGAATGGTTGTCTTTCTCTATGTGTCAGCCCTGCGATATTCTGGTGACCTGTCCAGGGTGTACCTCGCCTCTCGCCCAGTGTCAGCTGGGAAAGGCTCCAGCTCTTTTGCTGTGCAGCCCTAAATCATATGCTGGCTCTCTCAGTCATCAAAACTTTGAAAACCTTCTGCCTTAAAGCAGTGCATGACATCAGGCATCTGGTTTCTCTTCCCTAGTACCATGTCACAGATGACTGTACTTGTTTACAGTTTTTTTTAAAACCTATAAATAAAAGAGTACAACACAGACTTTGGTCAACAGTACAGCATACCACAGTTGTTAGCCATTCAAGCAGATCCTTTCGGACAGGATGTGACTGCAGAGAACCATGTTTTCACCGTTTCATTTTCATGACAAAGTCTGTCTGATGTTTTTCACCCTAAGTGCTGCCCCTCTGGAGACTTCTGTAATGGCTCTGTTAGAAACGGGTATTTGCAGTTGATGAACGAAAGCAGCAGAGGAACAAGGGACCTGAAGTGACACGTACACAAAAAGTGCTTAAGTTGAATATTTTAAGGAGCAGCCGGAGAATTCAGAGACTCTGAATAATGCATGATCAAAGTGAAACACTTTTCTTTTCAAGCAGTGGACACCCAAGGGAAACAATGTGAGGGAAAGGGGCTTTTTAAACCTAATGAAAGCCTGCATTTAGAAATTCGCTTAAACAAGACTATGACAAATCGGTAAAATCAAATTTCCAACTTGATAGTAGCACTAGAGGAAGTGTTAAGTGAATTAACACCAGTTATTACAATTCATCCCCAGGGGGGCATGACTGTGTGTAGCAAATTACATGGTAATCTATTCAACAGTTGCAGAGACATTTCACTAAAAACCGCAAATGTCTGCTGGTGGTGCTAGAGTGAAAGTCAGGGGATCAAGTCATTAAGTACCCACGGCTTTAATTCCACCATGAATGTCTGCAAAATGTCACTGTAATCCATCTTACAGCAGTTGAGAGATTTCAGTCTGACATTCGTAAAACTGACAGAAAATCTGCAGGATTAAAGTGCGTGTATCACCATCGAGAATAAGAACTTTACAGTGATGAAAATGGGCATATTCATGTTCACATTTAATCTTGTGCCTGTTTTCTGTTAAAATGTTTCTGATAGGGAAGCTGTATTGCAAGCAGAGGGTGCTGTGTGCTTTTTCCGTGAAAAAAAAAAGACAGTTGGCTGCACTGACTGTGTCACTATGACATTGACCATAAGTGTGCTAATGGATTAAAGTGATGTCTGGAATTGGCGAAAGTCAAGCAAATTGTTTTAAACTGCAAATGTCTATAGATAAACTGTCAAATGGAGGCAAGAAAAACAGGACCACTTGTGCCACTAATGGAGATGCTAAGTGCTTTTATGTGCTGCAAAACATACATTTTGAAAGATTAAGATGCACTTTGCTGGCAAAATATCAATTTGAAGAAAGATAGAGGAAGGAAGATCAAGGCCATCTGAATAAATCACAGCCTCTAAGCTGTGTTTGTAAAGCCATAACTCTTTGGACTTTCTTAGTAACATCATCAGCCCGGCAAAGTGAGATCAAATATCAAATCATTTTGAAAAACTGAGGTATTAGAGGATATGAAGCCATATAATCAATAATCCACAAAGGGGGAAGGAAAGCTGTTACGGTCCCCTGTTCACTGCAGCAGAACGCAGGCCACTAGAAAACTCAGCTCATTTTCCAAACACACCGGCCCATTACTCTGTGGTAATTTAGAAGTAAATGAGACAGAGTCGACGCATTTTAATACCTCATAAACATTGACAGCATGAGCCAGGAACAACCACAGCATGATTCATGCTGAGCAGAGAGGAATTTAGTGCCATGTCATGCAGAAAGCACTGAGGGAGGGATGTGAGCCAACACAAAGATAAAGGTCCAGACCCTCGTAACAATTAGATCAATTCCAACAAAGCTGAGCACGTTTATGTATGAGAGAGCGTCAGGTTTGCTCTGTCGATGGACAGTGGACACACACGTCCATGCAGGGTCACGGACGACTTAATGTAGCTACTCTGTACATCTGGAAAGTGTGCCTGATGCCATCATAGGGCACCCATGGGTGTTATTCCCCCGTGCTCATGCAGTCATGTGGCCTACTTACTGGATAGAACTTTTACAGCCCCTCAGGGTGCAGATTGTTCAGAGAGGCAAACTGAGTCATGGGACCCACTGTGCACATTTCCCCTCTGCTCCAGCTTCCAATCACCCCCCCACCCTGTCCCCACCGAGCCACCCCCACCCTCCCCTGGGAAGAGGAAGGACTATTTCAGCTCCTCTTCAAGCTGAGGTCGAGCAGCAGCTCTGCTGTGGAGGCTCCATGTGATGTGCTCTCCAACTCTGCTGTACAAACTACAGGCTCCACAGGCTGTGTGGGTGCTGCTGAAATACTGTTTAACTTATATAATAAA